GCGGTTTTCGATTTTTTTTAAAATCGATTCTTGAATATTCGATTTTGAGACGAATCGACTTTTCTAGTTACTAGGGAGAGTGCCCCAGTTACTGACACATTAAGGATAATTTTTCGTTAATTATCCTTTAAATATACTGGAAATATATATTTCCAACTAAAATTTACGTCAAAATTAACTTTTTCTTGCATTTCATATTGTTTAGTTCTCTAGTTATTCAATGAACCCCTTGAATTGTACGCTCGAGTTCATTCGAGCGCGCTAAACAGACCAAACTGTGCACACTCGAGATAATTCGAGCGGCGTTGTATTTTATGCTGCTATAATTTTTCACACACGAATAAAATCGAGAATTGAAAATAACAATGTGAAAGCAAAGAAAACAAATCGTTTTATTGATATTTATCATTTACATGGGATTGTAAGCTATAATACTTATTTATTCAAGAATAAAATATGGCCTTTTTTCCATGGAATAAAAGCGCAGTATATCAAAATTCTCCACCAAAAGAAAAGTTGAATTAGGGGCGGTAACAAATGGAAACCTTTGAGGATGTGGATTTGGTTGGATATTGCTTATCTACTTCCAATCAACGGCTATATCTTCTGAACTATCTTCAGAATCACTATACTTATCACTTTCTTCTGAGCCGCTTTCCGACAGCGTATTCACATTCAGATTCTGATTCGCTCATTTTTCAATATATATTTTACTAAAATATAATGTAAAATAAAACATAATAATAATAACAACAACAACAACAACAACAATAATAATAATATTCTGAAAATTAGAAATCATACCAATTGTATAAATATCCAATATACTGAATTTTACTTTCTGTAATCACAAAATGACTGACTGTCTATAAAGATACACTTATCTTTGCGCGCCATAGGTGCTTTCTTTTGTTTTATATACAGTTTGATACACACACAAGACTACATTCTTGCATTTCTGCACTCGTGACAACTGACTGCGATCCGTCGTAGTATTTTCGTAAACTTCGACTGACTACAATCCGTCATAGTATTTTCGTGAATTTATATAAAGGCTATTGTTTCTTATATTTTACGATTTAGTCGTGAAATGTCAAACACTTGTTTCTCTTCTTTTATAGTTTAGTTCAATATTTATCTAAGTGTTGTAAACTTGCAATTCGAAAAGAAAGGTAAAAAAGTTGATGTACGTGTAACATTGCAATGTTCGGCTCTTTTCTGCAACGTGGATTAAAATCCAAAATTAAAATAAAAATTTTGATTATTTTTATATTTTTTTAATTTTTTTGCCAAGACAATGGTCTAAATTGTGTTCTTTTACATAAAAATAATTTATTTTTTTTGGCCGGTTTTTTTCCAAAAAAATTGTGCATTAATTAAATATTTTCAGAACGTTTTAAGGCTTACATTTGACATGAAATTAATGAAGAATAAAAGTAACGTAAATGTCCCGATTACCGATGCTTGAAGAAACTAGTTGTACCAGTTATCGTGACCTAAATACCGGTAAGTCCTAAATATTTCTAATTTATTTTTCATGCATTTTTTTGAATAAATCTATACTAAATTAACTTTCTGATAATCTACACAACTCAAATTAAAGTGTTAAATAGCAGTCTTTCGAGGCGCCTCTGACAGACGTACTATTACATAATTCGTTTAACTCGTGACATCGATGCTCTAAACTTATACACGCAGCTGCGGTATTAATATGCAATGATAACGTTATCAGTCTTTAGGCAAAACAAATCAATATTAACCGGTGTGAAAGTAAATAATAGTTATTTTTATGAAATATGATAAATCGTATCGGAAAGCACAGACGTGTAAGAAAAGGAACGACTGAAAGTGAAGCCAGGAGTTGAAAAAGATATAACAGTAAATTATCCCAAATTGTTCCTCAGCTTGTACACAAAAATGGACAATTCGGGAAGAGCAGGTACGATTATTCGAACATCGCGGCTCGTTTTCATAGTCGCCGATTGACAACAATTATAAAAACGAATAATCGTATCTCCTCTTCTCAATTCGTCCACTTTTGTTTACAAGCTGAGAGACAATTGGAGAGAGTTTACTGTACATCGGTTTTGATTCTTGAAGCTGTTACGGAGAACCGAAAAACTTTCTCGCGAAAGTTATAACTAGACCGCGGATTTCATGCATCCATGACAAAAATGTGTAGATTTGTAGATGTGTAGTAGAACATTTATCAACTTCATTATATTACAGTAGAGACTCTTATCCGAAGTTTTATTTTTGTAATATTCTGATACCAAAACATTCCATTATCTCAAAATTTTATTCGACTCCTCTACTAGGCGATAATGTATCTAAATAATACAGAGACACTTATCCGAATTAATATAGAGACACTTAATATAGAGACACTTATCCGAAGCTTTATTTTTGTAATATTCTGATACCAAAGCATTCCATTATCTAAAAATTTTATTCGACTCCTCTACTAGGCGATAATGTATCTAAATAATACACAGAGACACTTATCCGAATTAATATAGAGACACTTAATATAGAGACACTTATCCGAAGCTTTATTTTTGTAATATTCTGATACCAAAGAATTCCATTATCTAAAAATTTTATTCAACTCCTCTACTAGGCGATAATGTATCTAAATAATACACAGAGACACTTATCCGAATTAATATAGAGACACTTAATATAGAGACACTTATCCGAAGCTTTATTTTTGTAATATTCTGATACCAAAGAATTCCATTATCTAAAAATTTTATTCAACTCCTCTACTAGGCGATAATGTATCTAAATATTACAGTGATTAGATAATAGAACGTTTGGATACCAAAATGTTGTAAAAATCAATGTTCGGATAAAGGAATCTCTATTTTGTACTTATAATTCATTAAAATTATTCACAATTGGAATAAATGTTTACGCAGTTCCAATTTCTTGCAGCAGATGCAGAAATTTTTTATTTTGCATAAGGAACCACAGCTTATTTATAAGATATATCGGTTTCGATTCTTTAGAACGAATATTATATCGTTATTTTTCGTTCTAGATATTTGTTGTTGTTATTTTGTTATTTTCCGATTTCGTGTTTCAGTTCTCAGTTAAAGGCAAAATGACCCAGTTACCTTAGTCGCAGCATTACCGACACAGCGATCATATGACACAAATTTTCGACTTAAATGTAGATTTAATGTACATTTAATACGTCAAACAAAACTATAACCGAAACTCAGAATCGAACAATAACAGTTATGCTAGACGCGATTATATAAAATTTATACCTTTAAGCATATTTTTATTATTTATTAATATAAATCAATTTATATATTTAATATTGTTACTTTATTAGCTTTTAATACTTCATCTGTTTTTATCGTTAAATTCTTCTCTTCTATTATATCACATAAAATTAATCATTTTAGCTTCATTAATTAATTCATATTCTTCAATATTATATTTCTTATTTTATAGAATCTCCGCGTATGTATAATTGTTATGAGTTAAAAAATAAATGAATAAACAAATAAACAATTAAAAATAGCGAAAATCACAGTTCTCCACACATTTGATAACATTTTCGATAACATTTTTAGCACGCATATAAGTTAACGAAATCTACGAACCGCATTTTATTTAAATTTTCATTCCAGGTTAAGAAGAAAAAGGTAAAAATCGAGAGGTATGTCAAGTAGAAAATAGAAAATAGAAATTTTCTTTGTCATTTCAAATAATAGTAAAATTTAAAAAAGAAGTATTCTATCACTGTAGAGTAAACTAGTCCCTGTATCGTCTCCAAAAAATTCAAATCAATTAGTCCAGTTTTAAAAAAGGTTATTGCGTTTTAAAACGTGTCCGAATACTCGTGTCTCCCATATTGACTGCCACGTCGGCCATATGTAACCGACAAGATTTTTTTATCAAGCTTGAAAACAGATTTTTAATTCAATCTGTTAAGTTAGGATCCACGAGATTGAACAGAATTACAAAAGTAATTGCGCTATAACAATTATCGTCCTTTTTATTGATACATATATAAACCAATGCATATACTGTTCTCATTTTGTGTGTCCTGTGTGAACATTGGCGTGACAGTTAACGTATTAAATCAGTGTTAAATAAATCTATTGTTTGCAACTTTTGAAAATTATCCGAAGAAAAAAGACGCTCTTATTCGACTCCTGCCTCTTACAATTGACACAGACAATTTTCAATTCGGATGAAAGTCCATAATACACTTATAACAGTCATGCATGAGTAGAGTGCGGATTTTTATGCAATATAAAAATCGTTCGCGTTAATTCGCAAGATACAGAAGCTGCATAAACATCTATTTTGTCTCTTAATAATTTTAATAATTTGAAAATAAAGCATCTGTTCGTTTGAATTATTCAAGTGTTTCTACTGCTTTATATTTGATCTACACATTTTTGCCATAGTCCAATTACGAGATTGTGTAGGTTCTTCGTAACTGATTCGCGGTCGAAAACGATGATCTAATTTTCTATTAAAAATCTACTGAAATTTTAAATTACTATTTAAATTGTTATTCAAATATCTATTTAAATTTCCATGAAAAATCTACGAAAATATAACAGATATGAAGCAGTCATTTTTACAAATCGTCGCGGACAATTTTCACTTTGCATAAAGATCCGCAGTCTACTTCCAACAGTAATGACATTTTCTAGGTTCTTCGTGTCCGTTTCAGTCGGAACTAATAAACTAACGGTTTTTTGAAACGATTTGCACTTTCGGATCCCTGGTAAAAAGACGCGCCTGCGAGAAAGGTGACGAAACTCCATCATCGAAATTTGTTGAAATGCATTGAATTCTGAAGGAAATTGTCTCGTATTCTTCGCATGAAATAGGAAACGTATACCACGAGCACGCTGTACGTGACAAACCGTCGTAAAAAGCGACGTTCCTCGATCGGATCTCGAAGAACTCTCGCCGAGTTTATCGATCAGCCATTTGAAAGGCAGAAACGTAGAAATCTGTCTTCTTACCTGATCGACGGTTCTCTGAAGGATCTGGCATTTGTCAGTCTTGCCAGAGCTCATGTCCGTGGGGAAGATCAGCTCGGTAAGCTCATCGATAAACAGGTTCTCCTGGGTCCGCCGTCTCTTTTCGTTAAGGCACTTGTTACTGTAAACAATCAAAGCGGAAGATCGTTAGCTGGACCGTTACGTGTCTGTCAAGTGATGCCTACAAATCATTTTTCTTCGTTAACACTACTTTCGCCGATCTTTTGTGCACAGAGTTTGATTGCGAATAATTAACCGTCGATAACCATTTTCATTCATGTTCAACTTCTTACATTTAATACCAATTTATGTATTAACACGATAATAAAAAAAATTGTATCGCAAATATAAAATTACTTATACAATTTATATTCGACTTTCTAATTTTAATACATTATTATCAAGATAATCATTATTGTAGACTATTATAGATAAATACTCTGCAATAATTACTTGTAAATTTATGAAGTTTTACATTCAATATGAATTCGTTTTTACGAATCATTATCCTCCGCTAATTATTTATGAAATTCTATACAATTATTAAATTATACCTTTTATTACCAAATGAATTTTATGATCATTATAAGAGAAGTTGAAAAGTTCACTGAGTAAATGTAATTAAATGTCGACAATAATTTCAAATTAAAATTTTAAAGGTATCCTTTGCTTGATGGAAATAGTGATAAACAAATATTGGAAAAGATGTTCTTCGACCTCTCTGGTAAAAACAGTGTTACATTGGAACCACTGCTTTTCTTCTGTTTAACAACAGAAACACTTTTTTGGCAGTAGATTTGCAGCGCCGAAATAAACAGGTACCTTCTATTTTCAAAAAGAATCTGTTCGAACTTTTTCAAGAAATATTCTCGTGAAATAGATTCTGCAAATAGAACTTAAAAGTTCTATGAAAACAAATTTTTTGAGAACGTTTATTAAAGAAGACTCCACGAAATAATTATAACATTGAATTATTATATGCCACTTAACAGTATTATGTAATACTTTATTTATAATTTAAAGATACGATACGAAAATCAAAATATAAGCATTATATTTTGATTAGAAGTATTGAATAAAAAAATCAATTTAATTTATGTAAGACATTTCCTGTTCCAATATAGAAAAAAAAAATATATCTTTTATTTTTTAATTTTATTAATTCTAGTGAAACTAAAATTATTGATCTCAAGAATTCTTCTAAATCTGTTCTCATTGGAGCTTTTTTATAATACGAGAACCTTTTCCAAAAGTGCCGCATGTGATAAATTCTAATGAAAGTTGTTTAAAAATTCCAGAACTTTCTCAAACCCTAGTTTCGATCCTCACTGCAATCTGAATGCAGTATTGCAATGAATCTGCATGCTATATTGATTGTTGTTACTTTATGTCGTGTTATCAGAGAAAATAAATAAAATCGTATCGATCTATGTAGTTAACAACATGCTAACGTGTTTGCTACCTAACGTCACTTGTGCACTCGTTCTCGTTCTATATACTCGCAACATTTTGTAGTATTATTTGTACAGCACATTGTTTATGTGAAGTTCTGAAAATATGTGTAGATTTCGGTTTAATTAAGTTCATTGTGTCATGTGTAGATTTCAGTTTAATCAGTTGTTCATTAAAAGTAAGTATTTATTCATTAAATAATTATACAAGTTAAACGAACGGTAAATGTAAATGTAACAACTTGTTAACCTTATTTCTTCCAATGATTTCTATTTGGACGGATTTTTGTGGAAAATAAACATTTTCTTAATCAATTGGAAGGAACAGAAGTTAAAGTGTTTTTTCTTTAATGACTTTGATAAATTAAGGAGAACCTAAGCATATTCTGAAATTTTTCCAATGTGTTCATTGCTTGATTTTTCAACTAACCATTTTTATCATAAACACATAAAATCCGAGGTTTAGAAATTACTGCCGTAACGATTTATTCACCTTATTCATTCGAAATATGCTTAACACACTAAGTGTCAAATATCATCCCCATTTCCAAACAATATTAAAGTTTCTTAATTAAATCGTAACTAGATAGTTAATATTTACCATAATAACTATTGGTTTAACTATTTTGCATTCTAAAAATTCTAGTAATGTAGAAACGTCCTTCGTTGTTTAACACAATTTTTACCGATATCTTGTATTATACAAATTACTGAATTAATTTCGTGATGACTATAACTAATATCAAGATGCGATTGCGTAGAAGACATAGAACATAGGCAATAATTATTGTAAAATGTCCGAAAACTCTTTTGGGAAAAATAGTATTACATAGGAATTATTAAAAAGTGTCTTTCGACACTTTCGGTAAAAATAGTGTTAAATATCATTGTGATCGTAAGTGTTTCTATGATTGCATTTTATATCGTTGAAATTTAATCGTTGGACATATTATAATTAGACTGCGCATCTTTCCATTTGCAAATCCTTTCTTATTCCTATCACTTTTAATAAGACGAAAATAATGTATCGATGTGTGTGGTCCTTAATTATTCCAGTGTTCCTACTGTCGT